AGTTGCTTTAAACATGCATGCTGTACACACCTGATTTAAATCATTTAAACTATCACATCATCCTTAGAACACATATTCTTCGGCCTCTCTTGGTGAGGCTGGAGGATTCTGCTCTTACAGTACAGTAGAAACGTTATACAAGTGAGGATATTCAATGTCAGGAAGAGTTTTGTTTTTATTTATTTATCAAAGATAGTGTATTAAAGAATAAGTTGTTCCAAGCTTTTTGAAAAACTTCCCACAGCTCTCCATGTGGATTTAGGCTGCCCTTAACAAAAAAACGTTATCAAGCTACTCTAGCTTTTTGAGCTGCAGCTGTACATTATGGTTTTAGTTAAAATACAGCTTCTCAGGCGTCCCTATAGCTCAACTAGCTGAGCAGGCGACCCATAAACAGGGATTCGAATCCCGCTCACTGCTGCAGGTCTCTCCCCATTCTTCTTCCCGCTTTCCTGTTTGTCTCTACTGCTCTAAATAAATGGAAAAAGCCCAAAAATATATATTTTAAAAACATATAAATAAAGTACAGCTTCTCCTACATTGCTGGAAAGTGAAGCAGTAAAAAAACAAAAAAAAAAACAAAACCACATTGATTACAAACGTGATACTCCACAAACAAATGTAATCCAACAGAAAATGTGTTTTCCTCAAATAAAAATGCAGTTTAGTTGTATAGGTATGTAATTTTAGGGACAGGGTTGGTTGTACTGCTAATGGTCAAACATTAGGAGCTTTACAAGGAGCTACATTGCTGACCATGACACATTTTTAGTGCCAGTGCTGGAAGACATCTAGAAATTTATTTATTTATTTTTATTTTTTAGTTCTTTTTTGGGCTTTTTTTTTTTTTTGCCTTTATTATAGATGACAGTGGAAAGCGAGTCAGGAAACATGGGGAGAAGAGTGGAGGAAGAGGAAGGACATCAGCAAATGGATTCAAACCAATGGCCGCTGTGTCGGGGAGTATAACCCCTATATATCAATATGTGTGATATATTGACACATATTGACATGTGTGGGATGTGGTTTTGTCTATCCAATGTGTTGATATAGTGCACACAGTTTGTGAGAAAGGCTGCATCATCTAACATTTGTGTCAGATCAGGTGATTCTATCGTTTCATATTCTTCCAATGACTAACTAGCCAGAGATACTTAGCAGACCATGTGTTAGTAATCGACCAATCACGGTTTGTCTTTTTTCACCAGCTGTGTTGTGGAAGTCGTCAATAATAATGGCAGAGAAGATTTTTACAAGTGTTGATCTGTTTGTTAGCATGTGATGAGTTGTTCCAGATAGTCGTCAACTATAAAACATGATACGTAATAAATGTTAAATTCAATTCAATTATTTAGCATCAATTCACAACATACGTCATCTCATAACACTTCACATGATAAGATGAAGACCTTGTGAATTTTAAACAGAGAAGGGAGACGAGCAAGCAGGAAGGAATAATAAAAAAACCTCCGACAGAACCAGGCACAGGGAGGGCAGACATCTTTCTCGGCAGTGTGGATGAAGGGGATCGCAGATGTAGAACAGACAAGCAGTACAAACAGAACAAACGTCGAGTGGTCATGTCCTCGGTGCCTTATGCTCCTCTGGTAGGAGTATATTCTTGTACAGATATTGTGCCGTCTCAACCCTTCTAGCGAGACTTTTTGAGCTTTCATTGTCTTCTCTCCCTTCTCTGACAACTCGATGTAAGCCATCATCTCCGTTATTATCTCCAATATGTCTGATGCCGCTCTGCATTCAGCCTGGCCGCGGCTTCACACATAAGTTTCTGATGCCAAAAGGGATGAGACGAGATGCTGCGTCTCACTGTTTGTTTGTTTTGTTTCTTCCACTGCAAGTGTAGGCGGATGTCGCCGCAGCCAAGGAGCTCTACTCAGATTGCAGTTGCTGCTGCGCGCGTGTCCACTCCTTTCCGTATGTGCTGGTATATACCTAGGCATTGCGTGGAAAACTTGCAGTCTGCTGGCCTTATGCTGTTTCTTTTCAAGCTCACACACCCACACAAACACACACACACACACACATATCCACGCACAGGCTGTATTTTTAGCTGGCTTGGAGCCTGGAACTGTTTATGGGTAGAAGAAAGAGAAGGGAGGAATCAGGAAGGTTGTTGTTGTTCTTGTAGAATCATGATGTTAGCGTGTTAAATGCGAGTATGGCGGCGCGCTCAGGACGTCTATTATCCAACTTGGGAACCATAAAACACCTCTTCGAAGTATCGCTCGGTTTGATTGCTTGATTATAAATAAATTAGCCGAAAAAGGCAGCAGAGACGCACTATTAACAGTTTTCGTAACAGACACACTTGCGATGTAGCAGCAGACTGTGGAGTCCTCTCTTGTGTTTAACAACTATTGATCTCACTCACACTGAGAGCTCAAGGACAAACACCGACTGCTGACGGTACTCTGTATATGTGTGCATTAGCATCTATTATGTCTGCGTGTTTGCATAATTTAACTCATTCCGGATCAGACTCCTTTTTGTCCAATAAGCCGTTTATAACTCCCTGGCCTGATACAGGAATGCGACTTACACGGCACGCCTGACCCGACGTTAAAGAGAAACTTATCATCCCCTTTTCGTGCCCTTTCACATATTCAACATACACATTCAAATCCGGGGCTCACATTCAAATCTCTCCCTCTTTTCAAATTACAATGTAGAATGAGAGTTCTATATGTATGGTTCTATGAATTCTGGATGAGGCGCCGCGTTGTACCTGGATTTCTGCCGCCCGTGGCAGTCAGGAGGAATTAATTTGAAATCTGTGCACAACACCGGCCAACTGACAGCGCCTTATGGTTGAGAGAGGAAGACGAGGCCATGTGACGGATTCGCCTCATGCTGGGGATCCTGAGTTGATGATTTTCTTCTCCAAAAAGGTGAAAGAACAATAAGAAATACAGATTGGGAGCAGATGACGCGATGAAGTGGCTGAAGACATCAGCTACTAACCCAAAAAATGGTTGATCACGAGTGTGAAGCTGCAGAATTCATCATGATTCAAATCAAATTGGTTCATCATCCAGAGAGCTTTGTATGTTTTATAGAAATCTTCCCAATACATTGTATTATCTCTCTAGTTTAGACTTGGCTCGATCCTGCTGCTGGGTAAAAGCTTTATGGACAATGTGTTTTTGTAGGAGCAGCATCTGCAGCTTGGTTGTGCATTACAATGAACACAGATGGTCAATGAGCATGAAAGTTCATTTAGTTCAAGTTGCACTTCAAACATGGGCTTTTTCTGGAGGATTCAGAGGAGTTTCTATCAGTGAATGTATTTCCAAACCTCAGTCATTTGATGAGTGGTGGTGAGACCGTGGGGCTGGGTGGGTATAGCTGAAAAAAGTCTCTCAGTTAGTATCATTAATTATGGTTCATTTTTTATTGATTGAAAGAAAAACTCAAAAAGAAAAAGTGTGAATTTCACCACTTTAGTTTCCAGAGCAACCTACACAGATAACCATTTTAATGAAAAAAACAACAACAATAAATGTAAATAAATACAGACAAATGAATGATTTCCCTCTGATACCCATTCGAGGCACATGGAGGGTGAAGCCGCCACATTGGGCCCCTCTCTGGCCTCCATGAGAACCCGACATCAAGTCTTCTAGTCCTCACAGCTGACTGTGTGCTGCATAAGTGGAGGATTTGGGCGACACAGGGTCAAAGGTGTAGACGGCAAAGCTCATCTTGCAAAGGCAGCCATTAACCTCCACCAGCATCAGGGGAGTTATGACAGGTGACCATGGTTCAGGCGTGTCTACGTAGAAGCCATGAGGACAGTGATGGAGGGTGGAAGGGCACCAATTGTCAAGGAATATGAGAGTTAGTTTGGGTTTGTTCATGCAACTGAGCTTTGCATTTTGTCAAGGCTTGAATCAAATGGATTTAAGTAACACGACTGAACCTTCTATTGAACAGTTTTCCTTTTGCTTTAGACCATGTGCCAATCACCAGGACTTTACCCTTTATGGGGCAAGTGACCACATTTGGTAACTTCCTTGGACGTTCAATATGTCCACCCTGTGCCTCTGCTTGAGGTTGAACAACCATGTGTACTTTAATTTATTTTTAGTTCCAGTATCACTACCTTATGAAAAATGTCACTCAACAAATGTTGTATAAACGCTTTGTTACTGGTTTGCATTGAACTCCACTTTGATTTATTTGTTGAGATTGGTGCCACTAGAACCACCACCCCAAGAAAAATGGTTCTAAATGAACTTGCCAAGCACTTTATAAACACATAGTTACTGGTTGTGTACGTATCATTACCTCAAATTAAAAAGCTTCTAAATAAATGTTTTTTGCAGTTTGTTACTTTTACTTTTATTTATTATAAATTCCCCTTTTTTAACTGTAGACAGGCAAATTACCATATATGGCAACTGTATTACTCTTGATTTGCAACATTTTTTTAAGTCACAAAAGTAAAAAATATCTTGAAACATCCTTCAATAACATTCTGGGGTTGAAATTTTCATTTTCCAAGTAATTTCAAGCAGTGCCCTATAAAGGGTTAAACCTCTAGGTGGACTTTGTTTAGCTCTCATCAGAGGTGATCAGGACGTGTTCAAATGAATCTTAACCAGCAATCTTAAGACTAAACTGGCTGTACTGATCACTGCTGTCACTGAATGAATCAGGAGCTTTTGCCAGTAAATGTCTATTTCATACCGTCTTTGTGGACAGTGATGAGTACTGAGTTCATCATACAAATCTTCGAAAGACTCATCTTAAGTAGCGTGATTAGATTCATCACAAGTTTTCAGTCTCAAGGCGTCTGGATGGACAGAGACCAACAGAGGTCATGAGTTTTGGCAAATTCCTAAATATATTTGATCACAGGTGATGATATCCTCAGTAATGTCAGGCCTCTGTTGTCAGGCTCAGTCTTGTAGAAGATCGTCAGGAATCTGCTGCGAGTGCTTTATCTTGTCTCATGTCCTTCAATCTATATTTTCCAGCAGACAGATGATGCTGCGCAGACAGACAGTCAGACGCCAACACAGACTGTACCCGAAAGCACAGACAGCAAGACCCAACCCAAGAGACTTCACGTCTCCAACATCCCCTTCAGGTTCAGAGACCCAGACCTCAGGCAAATGTTCGGCGTAAGTACGGCAACGTCTGATGCACTTGAAATGAAACTTTGAGATGTTCCACGTCATTTGCTAGAAACAGTTTGAATTTTCTTTTTAACTGATAAATAAAATATATAAAAATCATTCAGCATTACCTGTTTTTCTGTGTGTCTTTACAGCAATTTGGCAAAATCTTAGATGTGGAAATCATCTTCAATGAGCGCGGTTCGAAGGTAAATGTGTTTCTGTTTTATCTAAGTGTGCCTATAAGTAGACCGTGTTCAGTACAGTTTCTGTAAAGTTTGAAGTCATTATATTGTGAGTTTTGTGAGAACTTTACCTTTTATTAACCCTTAAATCTACATTTATAGTAAAACCAAAGTGTCATTTAATCTTAAATAGGCTTAAACAAATGCGAACACAACAGTTTGCATCTGTCATTTTGAGTTATAACAACTTATATTCAAATTATTTTCATGTCAACACAATTAGTCAAAGGGAAAAAATATGGTTTAGCTTAATCAGTGCATTAAAGAGGTGGGGAGAGGTTATCTGAATTGCATTTTAGAGTGCATTACTACAATTCATACTTGTGTCAACTCCTTAAATACTCGCTCTTCTCTCACCTCTGTGAAAACCTCGGAGCAACAAGACTTTATTTTGATTTAATCTAATTTTGACCACATGCTGCTAATGTAAATGGTGAAGTATCACCTAAAGAAATTCAAACTATACTTAGCAAACAAAAACTACAGCTGAACAAAGACGATAACACTTGTGTATTGACTGTCCTTTACTTTGCACGTAACCAGGATACGTCTCTACTCGACGTCTTAAAGCAGCCTTAATAAACTGGCCTAACTTCACTTGACTCAGTGTAGATTTGGAGTTGGAGCAGCAGTCAGGCTCGGTTGGTGACTTTCACATGCCCACAAGAACACAAATACAGACAAGAATGGTGCATTTAATATCTTAGAATAAAAAATAAATTCTGAGCTTCAGTGCAGCATGAAATGCCCAGTCAATATCATACTCAATGATAAACCACATTAATAAGGGACAATATGATTTTGGTATCGATGAAGTTGTTGTACATTGCCATTCAAAGTTAATTAAGAATTTCTCCACTTCATTTCATTAACCAACCAGGGAGTCACAGCTGATCAATACTGTTATAATAAATGTCCTCCTCAGAACAACCTCCTCCTTTTGTACCGAGCTACACTATTCACACACGAACTTTCTTTTAAAGTCTGTTTGTTCCGATTATTTGCTGCTTCTGTCGTCTTATTTGTGGCTGATGTTTGCTTCTTCCAGGTAATTCTGTATTGTGTTTTTTTATGATGCAGTATTTTTAATTTGCTGTATTATGACTTCAAATTTATTTGTATTATGGGGACATTGCAGAAGATGATTTGTATCAAACTGCATTGTATGAAATTGTCATAAAACCCTGCAATAAACACAATCATTTATCGTGTTGGAAACCCCTTGAGGCCTCACTTTACAGGGGCAGTGTAGGTGGTAATTTGGAGGGATTAAAATCAAATAATCCAACAGTCTTGTACTTTTAGATTGCTGCTTCATATATATAGACGATTAAAGCAGAAGCAGCAAATTGTGTCATCTACTCTGTCGTAAAAAGCTACTGTTCTCTGCGATGTTGAGTTTAATATGTACCAAATAACGTTGCTCTTTCCTCTCTCCAAGGGTTTCGGCTTCGTAACGTTCGAGCATAGCGTGGACGCCGACAGGGCGAGAGAGAAATTACATGGCACCGTGGTAGAAGGCCGTAAAATAGAGGTGCATGTTTTCACCTTTTTTCTTTCCGCTTCCTCCTTCTCCCTGTTCTCCTTTTCCTCTTTGTATATCTATATGTGTGTGTTTGTTTCTTTGTGTGGGTGTGTTTGTGTCTGTGAGCATTTGGCAGTCACCTGGCCATCTTTCTCAATACATCAAGCTGTACAGTCATCCGAGCCTCACCATTTCCCTTTCCCTGTGCAGTTTCATTAAACTTAAAACCTAAATCAATGTCGACATAAAACTAGTCCAACATTACTGTATGCGAGAGACTTTGCCTGTTTTATTTTTTCGTTCGTTTACTTTATTGTTCCTTTTTTTCCCCTGTTTTACTTGATTTTGTACTGTCAAGGAGATTGACCTCAACGAAGGTTTTTTAAAAGTGATTCATTCTACCCAGTCATTCTAGATGAACATCTTTGTGCTTTAAAAAGATGACTGTGGATTCATAAATGTTCAAAAGCAAAAGGTGTTATGATATATGTTTAATGAAGAAAGGAGCTTTCCCCCTATCCATGGACAGAGGAAGTACTTAAGAATTTGAAGACATCTGGAGAGCGAAATGCAAGGTTCACATCTAAACTGATTTGGTAGCATGACATGATTACCTGAGTGCTATTCCAGTGTCTTGTGTCCACTCAGAGGAGCAATAGCTAGTCACCACCAGCCTTGAAGCATAACTCTGTCTATTTTTGACCCAATATGAACACGATAACTTATTAATAAGAAGAAGAAGTCAAATCACGACTGGTGTAAATAGCCAACATGCACTAAGTTTCATACCATCAACATTCCAACTGTTGACCATCTTGTAGACTCTACAGAGCGCATATTAAAGTCTAGACCATATAGAAGCTACTTAACGGGCTGCATTTCACAATTGTGCAGGTTTCTGATGGACTGGAACTGTACAATAATCACAGGTTGGGACTTGAAATAGTCATTAAACCCAAGAGTTTTTATGGACCACTGTTGGTTTTGAACACACGTTTGGTATTGAAGTTGCAATCTTCCGTTGCTTATCTTCAATGCAAGACAATGTCTACACACAAGGGCTGTAGTATACTGACATCACAGCTAGTTTCCATCCATCCATCCATCCATCCATCCATCCATCCATCCATCCATCCATCCATCCACAGTCACTTATCCATCTGATTATGGCAGCAAGGTAGCTCAGATGTCCTTCTCCCCAGCCTTATTCTCCAGCTCTTCCTGAGGAATTCCCATACCAGATGGGATAAGTAGACCCTTACGCATTTCCAGTTTTTTGGTCTTCCAAGGGGTTTCCTCCAATTAGACCTCCACGGTACAACTAAGCATTAAGAAACAAAGGTCAGAAGAAATCCTAATCGGGGTCTGAACTTAAAGTCTTTTGGTCTGAGGAAGTAGCAGGCCTTCTTTGAGCTACGTTTAAAGACAAGCTCTGCCACACTGTAAAGGAACCTCGCTCTGTTGGTCATTACCAAAATCTGATGACCCTGATTGAGGCATGTGATTTTTCCAGGCTTAGCTCCCATTCTTTAATAACAGTTTGGCATTGTATGTGCATTTAAAAATGATGCAACATCAACTCGTCAGCTGATCTTGTGTTTCATCTTGGAATTGCATCACACCCCACAACACTTGACCTTCTCCACTTGAAGTATTAACTCCAACCATATGAATATAGCTCATAAATCACAGTCAAAACTTCTACAACACCTCCCTGCACAGTGTGGTGCACATCCTGCATCCTCTGGGAAGAAGTAATCTCAAGCAGAATCAATATTCCAGTCAGCAGTCCCTGGAAGTTAAACCATACACCCAACTGCCTGTAAACTATACTGCTTCTACCATAAGAACCAGGGGTTTTATACACAGCTGTTACTAGTAGTGCCTGTTGCAGAAGGTCATCCTCAGATGACCCACCTTACAGCCATCCAACTTCATCAGCTCTTTGAAAATGCAAAAGTATAACGCTCATCTTTATTTATTGAGGATTAAATGGCTTTTATCCCCACATTTTACAAGATTTTTATGCCCCACAGTTGTGCCAGTTCTTGACCTCTAGACCACTGCGTCATCGTCAGCCACTTAAAGCCAGAAACGGCAAAGAAAACCCGTACAGAGACTATGTTTTTCCTCACTCTCGTGCCTGCTTCCTTCCCCCTTCTCTCTATTTTTACATCTGAATAACGTCTTTAATGTAAAAACAATGCACACAATCCCCACGTTGGCACATTTCCCTTGGTGCCATCTTGGCCTCCAGCCGTTTTTAGACGTATGACTTTGGTGCAGATGGCCCTTCTCTAATTATGCACCCTTCACATCCTTGCTGCTCCAGGTGCAGACCACCAAACTTCTGTGTCACCTCTGCCACAGTTTACCTCCAGTGATCCAAAGAACTCACATCAACAGACTTTTACAATCCTCCAGTGTCTGTAGAACCACTGATGAACCAAAAACTAAACTGGGCCATTAAGTCACTCCAAAACCTCAGTCTCCGACCATATCCTGCAGAAATAAGGAATACAATGGATCCTTTTAAGCTTTCCTTACTGTCCAAGCTATGGCACCACCAAATGCACAAAACCTCTGCAGTTCAGAGGACAGCATTTTAGCAAACCCAAAGCCCAAACACACCATGCCACGTACCCCTCATCTCACTAAGAAACCAAGGAATCTCATTCATCCAATCAACTTCAAACTTGTGGACTGTCAGAGCAGTGCCGCATGTGAAGTTATTTGGACTGGATGTTCTTGAGAAAACCTTAAGAGATAAACATGAGGCAGCAGGCAGTGACTGTGGTAGGGCTGGGACGACTAGGCAATGTAATGGCAACACTGGATCACAAAAATGTTTTTTCCTGCCTGGTCAAAACATCAATTCTCCCAGAGAACAAGCTGCAGCTAAAAAAAATGCCTACGATTATGTGAAGTGCGGGAGTATTTTAGATAGAGACCAACAATGTGGCTCTCTGTAAGCATTGCGAATGGGAAATGACTGATCACATCAGAACAACTGCTGCACAAGCACTTAAACATGGAGGCTGCAGCGATGGGTAGCATCCTCCTGTTGACTTTCTGTCACGACTAAAGGATTATACAGGCTGGTAGGAGTTAGCGTCGCAGTTCTTTGAGCAATTTGCACCAAAAGGGAAAAAACAATCTGGTTTGAATAAATAAATCAATGAAATGACAAGTTACAGCATCATTTTAAAGATGTTAAAGACAATATAAAGATTAGCTGATGTCTTATTGCATGAGATCTGCCGTATAAGAAATGTGGTTTGTGACTTTGTCTGTGGCCGTCTGTAGACTCTGCTGATACTAATACTACAGTCCAAACACAATCACATAGCAGAAGAAGAAAATAAGAATAGTGAATCATTTTTACATTTTTGTTCAAAAATGTAATTCTGAAATAACTCAAATGTGAACAACAACAAAGAGACAATTATCCATGTGTGAAGTAAACAAAGAAGTAAACTTTTAAACCCATTTTCCATTTGATTCATTTTAATGGTGCTAACTGAACAAAAACTGCATTACACCATTAGCAGTCTGAAAACTACAGATTCAGACAACCTGGGTTTCATAAGTGACCAAGCTATGAGCCAATCGTGTCATCTCTAAGGGTGGAGCTTTTGTCTTCTTCTGTAGAACTGGTGTCTGGTTCTAACATGTTTGGCTATGTTACTCCAGTATTTAAATTTGCCACTTTGTGGCTTAGAGTAATTTTACAGTGCTTGAGTAGAGTCATAGGTGAGCTGGTGTGCTTGATCTCCAGTTAGCAGCGGATGAGTGGGTGGAGGAAGAGAAGGGCACTTGATAGATCCACACATTCCAAAGCAGGCAATAGTGTAGAGTTATATCCAAGCCACTGTATGGTAAGAATGGATTATTTTCATGGGGGAAAAAAACTTCAAAATATGTAATTCTGATACACAGAGACAGGATTTTTAGGGGTTTAATTAAAGACTCCACTTGAGTAAAAATACTGATTCCCCAGTGCTGTGAAAGGGTTGCTGTAATATGCAGCGCTCAAATTAATAAATGTGTCCCTTTGAATTTGGCATCTAGTATTTTCATCAAAAGCACCTAAAAAATAGGGTCCAAAATTAATATGATGAATGTTATTATCACAATGAAGTCGTGTCATGGAACTTAACTGAGGATGATTAAACGATTGAATAAAATACCGACATAATGATGAAACAAATTATTGGTTTTTAATTTGTGTAAATTGCTTCTTATATTAAATAATTCATTAAAAAAAAATGAATAATTGATCATTTTGGAGTTCTATTTATTGACTTATTAAATTTTTAAAAAAGCAAAAAACTATTGTTACATGAAAAAAAAGCAGCTCTAGATCGTGTTAAACTCAGAGCCATGTAGAGAGACAGTTAACCCTCTCTGTTAGTGGTGCTGTACCTAATGAGGTGTCGGCTCGGTTTAGTTTAAATGTTAACGCTTTAATAACCCAGTGCAGTCACTGCTGAGCGAGGCCTGGTTTGGATGTGTGATTGGTCACTGATACTGAGAAAGCTGCAGTCCGATACAGGCGAGCAGCTCCTCAGGACAAGACTCAGCAGTCCACCAGCATCTAAATGAAAAGGGCCGATCCTTTGAGAACCAGCAGTGTGCACATTCTGGACAGCGAAGACGGATGGTTTTAGAGAGGAGTAAAGGAAGCCACCGATGTTAAAGTGGAACAGTTATCTCTAAAAGGGGGGAGGGGATCTACGACGATGGGTATTTGGTACTTACAGCTCTGGGATCCCTCCCCAAGACAGTTTCACCACCTTTCACACTAAGAGTCATAAGAGTCTGGTCGGTAATGGGCCATGAGAAGGAATACCTGGGACTCCCCATCAATCAGTTAGAACTAAGGATGCCTCTTGGATTAGAGGTGAAACAACTTTTCAGATCTTCTGGATTTGTTGAACAGAGTCATACCAGAACACATGAGGTCTGCAGAGGCGGTACCCTGTAAATCCATCCTCTTGTTAGCAGCTCACATTCACTATACGGAGAGCTTAGTCGGCCCTTTCTTCACCACTGGGACTCACAATGCTTGGTGCTTGTCTCAAGTGTCACTGAGACAACATAAGAAAAGCTTCTCTTTGGCCACCACAGCACCATGGAAGATGACATTTCCTTGCAAAAAAATTGCGCCAAATTCAACTTTATAACCCGACGTCTCTGCATTGACACGGCTGCTACTGGCCTGGCTTTGCTCAGATGAGTTTTCTCAGAAGCTGGTGTTAATGCTGCCTTACTTTAGCACGTGACTCATTGTGTTTGTTGACATCCGCCACCTCTGATTACGAGTTTCTGTAGAGAAGTTAAGTCAGTATATGAGTAGACGCAACATAACAAGAGGGTTCAGTGGTATAAATGGCCTACACTCAGATGTCATTATTAAATAAACAAAAACAGGTAGCCACCCAAACTTTCTAAGATAAATACGACTTTATATCACATTTGCATGTTTTTGTGTCATTGCAGATCCATCAAACTATGTATTGCAGAAAAATGCTGTGGCTGCCATACACTGACTCTAGAAGACTCTATTCGAGAGCTCAGCCAATATGTACTTACCTCAGTAGTTAATCTCCAAGTCAGTCACTCTGACTGTGATGGATGAAGACAGCTGGTCTGGACAAAATGGTCGGAGTTATGCTTTAAGAAACCAGCTAACTGCTTGTATGGAGAGAGCTGAAAGAGAGAGTTTGTGCAGTGGAATGATTACAAAGTTTTCTTGGCTACCTGAGTAAGATGCTGCTTATTCCTTTCTCATCCCCCCCTCCCCCACCATCCTTCCAACGGTAGCTTGTTTAGGGCCCCATCCAACACAGTTACAACGGTAACAGTACACAAACAAGTGGGCGGGGCCAAAAGGTTTGGGAATGGTAAGTGTGGGCGAGCAAGCCATTCTGCCAGCATTTCCTCTCTCTCTCTTCCTCTCTCTTTGGAACGTTTGCAACGCTAAAACTCACGTGACATTTCTTTTTGAATTGTGGTTGAGTTGATGCTGTATATTGACATACATATTTTTCTTGCGTGTCGGCGTGCGTGTCCATTTACTAAGTGTTCTCCTGAAGCTGCGTGTGCGAACGATACTGACTGAGATATGAATTCGTTTGCACATCTATCTGAGATTGTTGAAACCCTTTTATTCATTTATTCTTTTTTTGTTTTTACTTTGGAAGACAATGCACCCTTATTTTTTAATTTATCCTGTTAGCTGTTGTTTGAATTTGGAATGATTTGATTGGTTATTGATTGACTTGGTTGATTTATTTCAGTACATCTATTTCCTTTGGTTATTTTTTTGTTTTTTGTTTTTTTGATCTCAATAATTATTCTTGCAATGAATTAGAGAGGCTGTTGTCTGAGTGTGAATGCTTTGTATTGCTTTTCGTCACAACAGTTCTTCTCACATTTTAAGGTTGACTGAATGTTGCATAATGCTCCCAACATATTCTCTTCTTCCCCTTCTCCCAATGTCATTTTCTTTGTCTGTTTTTTCCTCCTCCTCCTCCTCCTCTTCACCGCATGCATCTATACATTTACAAAACATCATTTTTGACAGTGCATCTGTTGTTTCTTTACTGTTGTCTGTATGTTATCGAAATGTCACTATGTCAGGGAGAGCATGCCGGGAAACGTCATAAGACAGTAACTATGCAAATGAGAAAGCCAACTGATTTCTTTTGGATGTGTTTCTTTTTTAAGTGTTTCTGAATGCAATTTCGAAAACACAGAACTGATATGGGTGTTTGCCATGGTACATTGTACTGCTTTCTTTGTTTAAGACTTAGGAGACTATGCATGCAGAACTAGTCTAACAAGTGCAGCGCTTCATGTGGACGTACAAGTATCTTAACTCATGGAGCTATCTCTTTACCTGCTGTAGGTCAACAATGCAACAGCCCGAGTAATGACAAATAAGAAGACTGTCAACCCATATGCAAATGGTAAGGCTACGTCGGTGTACTTTGGAAGCTTTAATGCTTCATTGTTTGATAATGGATGTATAGAATAAGACCATTTAATTAAAGCCTATTGTTGACATACACTAGTGGTCACTGAAGCCATATAGTGAGTTCAATGGAGGTCATCTATGTATATTCAAGACAAATGGACTTTGTGTGGTATAACATGGTGTGTATACCCAAGTTCTGGTGAGTCGATGTCATCGCAAAGCAAAAAGCTTTAGTCACATGGTGGATATAAGACGTACAACTCTTGGAGTCTAGTTAAATCCATCACCAAGGAGTGGAAAGATGGTGACACCGCTGTAAATCTAACAGGAACAGGACATACTCAGAAACTGAATGAACAAGCAACAAGGAGGGACACCACCAAGTAACCTGTGACAACCGTAAAGGAGTTTCCAAATGGCCCAGTTACACCTTATCGCTGAGAGTTAGTGACTGGAATTCAAAAAGGCTGTTCTCATCGTCATTCATCCCCAGTTATTGTAAAGAAGAATGAAGAAAAATTCCATGTGTCCAGATGTGCAAAGCTGAAAGAGAACCGTCGACTATCATGACTGCCACTGCAGCCAAAGGGGTGTCTCCTGAATTCCTATTGTCATACATACTATGTAGTTTGACCTTGTCTTTTGATTGGTGTCAAAAAGAAGCCATGCTTTAACGTGATTTAACACCAACCTTATTTACCCCAAGGAGTTAATGTTTATAGTAAATTGAGGAATTTTGTTGTGTACATTTAAAATACAGTGAAACTTCGTCAAACAATGTGTCTTCCTTTATGGTTTTAGTGGTTTTGAGGAGACATTTATGAGCAAAATTGTTTAATTGAAAGCAAAACGTACAGCAAGGTTTAATTTTTTTTGCTTCACACTGAATTTATTGAATAATTTATCAACAGTATGAGCTCGTCTTCTTTGTTCTAAAGCCAGAAAACCTGCTCAGCAGTGTCAATTTTGGATATTTAGTTTAAGTCTTTCAACAAAAATGTGAGTTTAAGTCAAGTTTTACCCATTTGATTACTAATTTTTGCTTTTTCTAGTCACACTACTAGAAACATTTTAGTGTAGTTTTCATCAGTGACATTTTAGCCTCATTTTTTCATGATTATTTTGATGTCTTACTTATTCTTTGGCCACAGATTGTTGCCATCTCTGTGCATCTCTGCTCTACAAAGCAGCAACATCTCTAAGAAGATGATTTACTTACTTGTTCACTAAATGCTGTTGATCTGTCTGAGTGTAGCTTGGGAAGAGATGGATCATATTAATACAGTAGTCCAATAGTATTTCTATGGTGAACATCTGCAGGAAGCTTTAGATGAAGCACCATTGTCAATCCTAGGACTGACTCATTCCAGCAATAAAATAACATTAATTTTACAACATTGATAATGTTGGAGTAGCTGTGTTGGAAGCAATGTTAGCTTAGCTTTTCATAAATGTTGGCTGCTGCCTGCCTGTTTGTTGTTTGTCTCAGTAATGTCAGATAACGTCACAGCCTGACACATGACATCACTGACTGTAAGCAGATTCTTAATAACGGCAGTACAGCAGTTCAAACTGATAAATCTGTTAGAGACGCTTTGGGCGGCGGAGGAAGATTCTGCTCATCTGGAGCTGCACTGTGTGATCCCACAGATGCTCCAGGTCACTGAAGAAGACCTTACATGAAGAGAATGTTGTCATCAGTGTTGTTGGGTTATCAACCTTTTAGTTGGCACACATGCACCTAAAAACATTGTATAAATCATACACATCTCTTTTTGAAGCACTTGTTGAGCTCTGTGAAGTCTACGCTGGTCAATTTGTAGATTTTAGGAGTCACGTTACATCTTTTTGAGCGTAGAATGTGAAGACTAACAAAGGCATGGAGCATTACACATGCCAGACAAATGAACGGTGCTGCCAAAGCTTGTTTTGTAGCATGAAAGACACAAAGTTGGGTAACAAAAGTTTCGTCTTTTTAAAACTGTCAACACTTAATTGAATGATATCCATACGCAACTAGTTTCCACTGGTGAATGCATTTATGTAGGCAGTATTTTGTGGACAAAAACTCAACCTTTTAGCCAAGTGGTCTGAAGGAAAACTAGATTTCTTCTCCTCCTCCTGGCTCTGTTTCAGGCTTTAGACAATCTAGTTTACAATGAGAGCTTTTGCCAGATCCTGGGTGAAGCCACAAATTAAAGTGGACTTAACTTGACTGTCTTTGCATGTGTGAAGCATGTACTCATCTGCTGGAGAGGGCTTAGGACAGGGAGAGCTGCAGAAGTACATTTTCAAATGCCTCCATATTTCTGCAGCTTTATGGCATCTCTACACTGACTGTATATGGAGTGTAGGTGCTGTGGGATGTGTCTTTTAGTGGCTTAGCGTTGTCACAAAACAACACAGTGAGCTTTTATTTTAGGATCACTGTGTGTTAAAACTGTGTGGTAAAACTTCCATCTTCTCACTGAGTTGAAACTTGACACTACAATGAACTGATAAAGTCACAAAACAACCCCCTGATAGTGGCAAATAAATGCCAACAGGGTGATCACGGCTCCAAAGTGAAAGACCTGTTTGATGCACAGTCAGGCCGTTTTAGCCGACAGGTTTCTATACAGTCGAGCTTTGCACACCTCAGATTATTTTCACGTTTGCAGCACAGATCTCATGTCTGCACCGCTAGCTCGCTGCTCACACAACTGGTGTAACTACAGTTACTGATTATAATGGAAGTGTAGCGATGCAGCATCTGGTCCTCTGTCAACGTCTTGTTTCAGCTCAAGACAGTCTTGTGATGCTCGTATACAAGTCTGACAAAAGATCCAGCAGCGTTCAAGTTAATACTAGACTGAAGATGTGGTCGGTGAGTTTTCTCTCTGTACAGACACGTTTAGAGCAGAACTCAGGATGTTGGAATCTGAGGCTTTAAAAAGAGAAAGTGGACCAAAGACAAGAAGTCATTGAGTTGCATTGTGGGAAATGCTTGACTGTTTGGTCTGTCAGTTACTCAGCTGCTTTGATTCTGGTTGAAATTTGCTGAAACAGTAAAGTTTTGCACCAACAAGCATGGCCCCCAGATGATGGTTGCCATGGTGATGGCGGCGTGCATATGATGCAGCGACCCCGTCAGGAGACAACGAAAGTGAACGTTTTGAGTGTCTTGTCTATCCCAGACGTTCATTCTGCAGAACTTGCAGCTGGGAGACTTTGCTGGGTGTCAGGACAGTGAACGGTGCTGGAATTGTGGCGATCGGTTGTGATTTGGACAAACTACACCAACACAGAGTCCGATCGGAGACTACCAAGCAGTTAGCCGAGAGAGAAGGAAGCGCAAACTGTACGAATGTTAACAGAGGAGGAGGAAGAGAGACGGGATCCATGCTAGGCTAAAGGCTAACCCCTCCAGACCAGCAGGATCCATGCTAGGCTAAAGGCTAACCCCTCCAGACCAGCAGGACCGTCCTCCTACTCTCCAATGTCTGCTCCCTCCACAACAAGCTGGACGTTTGCTGAGAGAAACCCTCAGAGAGTGGAGGGACTGCTGTGTGTCTGCTTTAACAGAAACATGGCTCCATGACAACATCCCAGACGGACATACAGCTGGAGGAGACAACATTATTCTGGGTGGGCGGACAGGCAGCTAGCTCTGGGCAGCATCTGTGGCTTCACCATCGTCGCACCATCATGTGTGTCTTGAAGAGGTTCACCATGTTCAACGTGATGGCGGCGCACATGGACGCAGCGCCCCCTTCAGGAGACAGCGAGAGTGAACGTTTAGTGTCTTATTCCAGAGGTGTATTCCGCGAAACTTAGTAATCAAATGATCCTGAGAAACGCTCTCTCATCTTGCCTGTACTACTGTGTATGTACAGCAACATGACAATAAACCTGATTTGATGCATCCTAATGACTTCGGCGATTCTGATTGGTTTTTTTTTGTAACGCCCCCATGAGGTTCACATCTATGGTTGCGAATGAAGATGTCAACTGGATTTATTGCTGTGACGTTGGCTTCAGACATTCATAACATTTTGTGTTGTTGGGGATTTTTTATAAAAAAACACGTACCATTTAACTTGTTGCTTTAAATGCAACGCTGCAAAATGAGCTGTGTACGAATACAATCAGATTATTAATACATCATGTGACTTTGGTGCGCCCTTGATATCTGAATAAAGTCCCAGTTAGATTAAAGTTCAATCAGAACGCAACACTTACAGCAACAGCCTCGATAACCTGCTCCGTCTCATTCTCTTTGTCTTGTTATCTGTTTTCTTTCAGGCTGGAAGTTAAATCCAGTGGTCAGCGCTGTCTACAGCCCCGAATTCTATGCAGGTAAGAGGACATGCCCTTATCCGTCCTTATCCTTCTCTTTTGTGGCTATCTCCGTCCTCTCCAGTCTTTTTGTGCTTCACTTTCTCCAACATCTTAATTTTCTCCCTCTTCGTTTTAACCCTTACCACCTCTCCCTCCTCTGCTTTTCCTGCAACCAAGCAAAGTCTGTTTATAGCCCCAGAACTCTGCTGAGTCGCACAAACGCAACAACAGACTAACACACATTTCTGCAGCCGTCTTCAATCTGCCGGCGCTCACATCCCTCCCCTCCTCCTCCGACTCCTCGCCGCTGCCCAACCCCCACAGCCTGTCATTAACCGTGGTCATTAAGGTGAAAAAATACCTGGATGTTACGATAAGAACAAAGGCAGGAAAAAAAAAAAAAAAGAGGAATGTGTCAGAGGAGAAGTGAAGGAAAATAAAGGACAAGAGAAGGAAGATTTAATTGTCAATTCCAGCAAGGACATAAAAGATATGAAATATATTTTGTAAATTAAAATCAATATTTTCATTTTTTTCCCCCCCTCAGTCGTTTGCCTAATTCAACCCCACGTTCTTTTAATTACAAAATGGCTTTGTATTGATTTACCTTTGTCTCACCTTTCAAGTACCCAAAATGCTAATTGGGTTATGTGTGTCGGTGTGTGTACTTTGTGTGCACAAAAAGTGGGCAGGGTTTTCAGGCCTCCTTTGTGTTAATAATTTGCGCTATTATGTTTTTATTAGGCTGTGATTGCAGCTATTCAGCCGGTTCTCCTGCTTAATTTGTTTGGTTAAGATGGTTGATAGCGGAGCAGATGTTAAAGATGCACGACACATTACTGAAGCAAATGTGTTTAACTGTCAACACAATCAGAATAAAATATAAACCCAGTTCCTGAAAATGCTTGTTTGGATTGAGAAACACCCCAAAGTCTGTTGGCTGAGCTGAGAGGAACTAACTTGTGCTGTTCGTGGGAGATGGCGTGTGATAAGTACGATCAGCCTTTCCATTCATCTGACAGGATTCGTGTGTTTCTTATTGGAATGAGCACCTCGGTAACTCCTCTGTAAAACTCGTGATCCTACTTTGTCGACACGAATCAGCAAACAGGCCAGCGCTAAGTTGTGTGAAGTGATTTGGGAAACACCTTTTCCCCATTTCAGCACCGATATCAGTCCAGAAATACAGACACAGAGTTTGTGTTCCAGTTCGCCAACAAACCATAAAAATAAAGAAGAACTTTATTTATATAGCACCTTTCACAGAATAAAATCACAAAGCGCTTCACACAAGACAACATAAACAGTATATATAATGTAGATAGAAAACAAGCCAACAGAAATCCTATCGACTAAAACCTTGTCTAAACAAATGTGTCTTCAGCTGCTTTTGAAACGAATCAACAGAGTCTGTTTGACGGAGGGACTGAGGACGGCCATTCCACAATGTAGGAGCATGAAAGGACACCTCTGGTTTTAAAGCAGGTCTTTGGGACCATGAGGAGGTTCTGGCCCGAAGGGTGCGACCAGAGGAGCAGGGGCACAGCAGATCACAGACATATTTAGGGGCGTGGCTCTAAAAATTTTAAAATCTATTTGAAATTTAATGGGGAGCCAGTGCAGGGAGTAGAAAACAGGCATAATGTGAGTCCGTCTGCTGGATCTCGTTAAAAGCCTTGCTGCAGCATTTTGAACCAGTCGGAGGCGATTTAGAACCGATTTCTTAAAACAAGTAAAAAGAGAATTGCAATAGTCTAAACGAGATGAAATAAAAGTATGAATCACCAGTTCAAGATCTGATTTGATAAAAAAATTGGCCTCAATTTAGCAACGTTTCCCAAGTGATAAAAACAGTTTTTGACCAAAAGTCTAAAAGACCAAAAGATTGGTCGAACCAAACACCAAGATTTCTGATGCTTGACTGAACCAAGGAGCCAAGAGATCCAAGGTGGCTCACAAAGGAGGGGATTTCCTGCTCTGGAGCAATTATTAGAGTCTTTTTAGAATTAAGCTGAAGACAGTTTTCAGGAAGCCATGTCTTGACACTTGACAGACAATCCATTGATTCTGTTAGCTTGTGCAACTCAGACTCCGATACGATACGATAAAACGTTCCTGTGATACAGAGACTGTAGCTGATTAATGAGTCTCACCAAGAATGAATGTAATCCAGGCTTTGACAAAACATCAAGTTTAGTTTGTTGCTTCCAGCTGTTGAGTTTATTAAGTATCTGCAGCATGAGACTGTAGAAGGTTCTGTACGAGCATCTCCAAAGACAGAAAGAGTTGCACTGTGTTACGCACTACAGCACTAACTTCTTGGACTTTTTACAATTATAAATTACCCCCAACATGGAGACAGGACGGGTCATGATCTAAATCACACTGTACGTTTCTTCTGAGCTCCGTCACAGCTGTTGGGATATTTTTATTCTTCTGTCGGTAAAGTTGCAGTTAGACGATCATCACACATCGGCAGAATGTTCTAGACCTTGTGACTTAAAAGACCAAGAAAAACCAAACGTGGAGTTACCCCACAGGACATAAAACATGCTCTGGCATTAATGCAAAAGTTGGCAAACAACTGGCTTTGTTTCTGGCATCTTCCAGTGTGTTAATTACAGCCATGTGTGAGGCGGCGTATACCTTCTGACAGCTCCACACAGCCCGGTTTACTGGCTCCAAAGCAGCCTCATTCTTGTTTTCTTCGTGAAAGTTTGCTTCAGATCTGCTCTACAACTATACAGCTATTTCAAACTGTACCGACTGCAAAGGGAAGCAGCGCTGGGAGGAGTCACCAGTGTGACTGTAAGGGTCGCCACGCCGCTCGCTCCTAAAAAAATCAAGGTGACAAAAGATGAATAGGAACAATTACCAGCCTCACTCCTCTCCTTGTCTCTCTTTGAGAAAGTCTTATCCTTTGGCTCAAACCTTCCATTTTTCATCAGGTCAATGAATGATTCACTGTTTCTATTAGCATTTTATTAGATACCCTTTTTGAAGAGATGTATAATTAGGCTTGGAAATGGCACCTTGATCTCCTTCTCAACCTTCACTCACCCCAGCTCTCAAATTAAGCTTTGTGTCAGTCGTCCCCCATTAAGATTAATGATAAGTTAATAACAATACCACTGCACTCCACTCCATTGCCACTCTCCCTTTATTCTTTCTTTGTCTTTTCTTGACGCACATTTTTCCAAAAACAACTGGAAACGGGAGAAGACTTTACGTGCCCTCTTTATGATTCAAATGCAAATGGAAACTCCTGGTGTCGAGCTCTTTGTGCTATGTATGGCTACTTAAGTAACCAGCCCCAAGCAGAACACAGATTTTGATATATCGAACAAGGTCTGAATTGTTTACTGTTCTCTGTCTCCAGTACCAGGTTTTCCCTACCCAGCAGCCAGTGCAGCAGCAGCGTACAGAGGAGCCCACCTACGAGGTCGAGGACGGACTGTGTACAACACATTCAGGGCGGCTGCTCCGCCTCCACACATCCCAGCATATGGAGGGTGAACATCCTTTCTTTTCCTTAGCCTGTTGTCCTTTCTTTGTCTTTGGTCTCCTCTCTTTTCCGTACCCATTGGCAAGTCATGAATCTCTCAGTGCATCAGTGGAGAGGTGCATGCCACGCCCCTCGGCAACAACACACCCCTCCACTTCCAAAGCCTGCTGAAAACAACCCGCTCCAAGATGCGTGCCTTTGCACAAACTCATACGAAATGTCAATTTGGCCTTGTACCGTGGCGGGTGTCATTGAGAAGGTGGTGTTGGTGGAATGGCAGGTTCTCCACTGTGTGTTGACTTTGGATTTGGAGTTTATTCAGTTGCCAGAAAAGAAAAAAGAAAAAAACATCTTTGCAGCCTCAGCAGCTGCTCTTGTCGGCTGAATGCCTGGAGACACGCCAAGCAGAGCTGTGTCTTGCCGGCAGTCAGATCCGATTTGCCATCATTGGGTTGGTTCTTGTTGTTTATTTGCTCTTATTTTCTTGGTATTTATTTGACTGCAAGCAAATGGACACTAAGGGGGCTGACTGGAAGTCTACGGAGGAGAGCAGGCTGGATTTTTTTTTTCTTTCCTTTCTTTGTTGTGGTGCCATTAGGCCGTGGCAGAGTCAGAGGGCAAAACACTTTTCCATTCAGTTGTTTTTGAGAAAATTGAAAAAGTGCCTACAACCAGCTGCACTTTCTGCGAGCTGAGCACCACTTCAGAGTTAACCAAGGACTTATTTCTTATTGGTGCATGATGCAAAGTTTGACAGAAAATGGAAATGAATAGCATTACTGCAGATAACTATTGTAAAAGTAAAATAAACTTTGAGCACTCATGTTATCATTTATTTATATTTTAATTATCTGGTCATCTCCAATACTGTTCAAAGCTAAGGGTTGACTCTTGGTAGTGAGATGTGTCTCTTGTATAACTAGTAGATGCACTTTTGCACATCTTCCTATAAAATAACTTTTATTATAGATATGTATTTGTGAATCCAAAACATAGATCTAATTATTTATATTTTTTAATTTACTTTACAGGCTTTGAGACTTACAGAAAATTCTCAAATAAAAGCAGCTAATGGATAATAAAAAGTCTCATATATCAGTGGAAAGCAAAAAAAATCCGGGGATTGGAACAGACACGTGAATTCATAACATATGTTTGTGGGGCACTATTTTGTTTTAATTAACTTATTTATTTAATTAGTGTCAGCTTTGCCATTTTCTTTCAATTGCTGTTAATTTACTGTCACTAGAACCCCTCAGATTTTAAATTAAAAGACGACTAGTAAAGGAAAGAATGAGGCCATTTGAGCCTCCAGAAGGACATCTTGAGTTTCAATGACGGTAGCTTAAGCCTGACCGTTAAAATGACAAACTGACATGACCTGAAATTAACATATGACAGGTTAGAAGTGGAGCAGAGGAGTGATAAATCGCTTCCTTCCGCAAGAAAAATTACTAGCATCAAAGTTCAGCAACAGTAAATTAAAATAAAAGGTAGCCGAGACTGTTGAAGTTTAGGGAGACCGTGTTAAAAAAATAATGCAAGAACAATCTTTCTCCTGTGACGTTTGGTGAGACAGAGAACTTTTTGAAGTGGAAATAATCTCCAAGATGCCCTCCATTCAACCACCCACCAACATCACCGTCGCTATGAGCACGTCATGTAAGCAGCAGAAGATAGGTGTTTGGGTGAACAGCTCAGGCATGGCCCTGACAAAGAGATATGTGCTCGAGATTCTACTTTCATTAATGCCGCTGCGCCACTTAATTGCCCTGATGGCAGTTGGATGGTGAATTATTAATGTGGACCGTGATGTATTTTTATTAAAACTGCCTGTCTGGGTTAGTCGCGAGCCGATTCCAAATAAACCCTCTGACACGGCTCGGGAACTCAGTTTGCTTTGTATCCATGTGTGTGTTCACAAAATGCTCCCTGATGTCTTTAAGGGGACCTGACATGACAGCCTATAGTATCAATAAGCCGATATGAGCATGTGGCAGCCACACAAAGTACATTTTAAATGAGGAAATTGGCTCTCAGGGACACCTTGACATTTAAGGAGTTATTGATATCAGGGATTAGCCCAAAGTTGTGAAAGCAGTTAAATGGCAAGTGAAAATGGATCATGTTAAATGGAGCTTCATCATAATGTGGTGCTGACATCCACCTCCTGCTGGTTTTACTGGAAGATAGATGTGTCGCTCACACTAACAAGTACATAAGGGTTTTTTAAAAAAAATCTTTACACTAATGAACATGGAGCGCTTCCGTGTTGTGAGATAGGTATTCATAAGAGATTCCAGACATATTGATAGGACGTCAAACATCTGGATTTAATGCTCATCACTGAGCCTGAGGTACAAGCTACGGGGAGCTAAGGGGTGTGGACAAGCAAAAAGGGTCAAACAAGAGATTCTGTCAAGTTGCATATTGGCTTGTTTAGGATTCAGTGACTAACAGGAGACTGAGGCTCACGTCCCATTGTGCACCATTTTTTCACTTCTTTTCATTTTATTTTGCGACTTCAGTTTCCTTTTCTCTCTCCCTTTACTTTAATTTTCGATCATTGATTGCTTAAGTTTAGGCACCAAAACTTACAATTAGCAGATGCTTTTATTCAAAGCGACGTACATCTGACACTAGATCACATTCATACACCAATGGCGACAGAGCTGCCATGCAAGGTGCCTGCCTGCCATTGGGAGCAACATCAGGTTCAGTGTATTGCCCAGGGACACGTCGATTGTGGAGGGGCGGGGGATCGAACCACCAATTAGAGGACAACCCACTCTACCACCTGAGCCACAGTCGCCCTCAAAGTATTACCAAAGTATTTGAAAAGGATCATGGTGTGGGTTAAAACACACCCTTTCACAACATTAATCACGTTACAGGACAAGCTACAGTGACGACACCAGCTGAGAAAATCTGAATATAGACTCATGCCATGTATTTCTGACATAGGTCTATCAAGCTACCCTTCGTAGAAATGTTACTACAGGGTACCCAGTGTGCACCATGTTGACTCAGCAAGGTTTGACAAACAGGTGGTTTGCCAGACATCCCTATATACCTCAAGTCTTTCGTTAGGTTGGGTACCTGTCCATTGTCAGTCCGTCATGCCAGTTGAATGTAGGGGTGTCGTCCCATCTTGCAATGCATTGTTTATTTTCTTAAAAGTAGTGAGTCGAGCAGTATTCTTAGTTGTTGCTTGAGTCGCAGGTGAAAAGCACTAATTGTAATAATCACCTTAGTTTTGCAAATGCTGCTACAAAACACATGACGACAGGATTGGACTATGCTGTCATTCAGGTCGCTGAAGTAAACCCCAAAATGTTAAATAGAAATCAGAAGAGAGACCACCGTTACTACGGTTGATTAACTTTACTGGCCTTTCTTGGATAGACTTTCCTGTGACTGCTGCTACTTCTGTCACACATCAGTAGAGATCCGTCAAGTATTTGATGACCTTAATGCGGAGATGGGCAGCTGTGTTGGAAGCATTTAGATCATTTTCTCAAGTCAAAGTACTTATACCACCGTGTAAAAGTCCTGCCATTTATTAAATGTCTGCAGTGACTCTTGTACTGTAATATAGTATAATATATTAGAATATTATGCATGAATTAATGTACAGTTAGTGTTTTACTCTTGTAGTAAGTCTACCCAGTTGCCATTCAAAGGATGTTTTACATAGTTTTACACTTATTTGTTCAAATGTCCTTTTATTGTGAGTATACCTTATGTTGAGGATAACTGAGCACTGTACCGTCATTCAGATTAGTCTTTCTGTCTTTGGGTTCACTGCTTTATTGAACCAAAGGTGCTGATTCTGGCTAACTGGCATCACAAACCCTGTTTTTAACCCCAGTTTTTCCCCCATCAGGCTCAGTGGTTCATTACAAACATCACTTTGGTTAATTGTTTTGCTTGAGGTGACACTTGGTTTTCTCGATTGTCCTCTTGTTGAAAATAGACATAGTGTCTTTGCACTGAGTTAATAATTGTCATGGTTTGTGTTGGAACCCAAACGCAGAACATGAAACACAAGGCGACCAGAGTGTGATGGAAAATTTGAAGGTTGATTGTTTATGGGATGGAAATAGACATAATGTTGGGGATGACTCGAGAAGCGAGAACGAACAAGTGGGAAGGGCAGAGGGGTATGTATAGACATACGACAGGAAGCGAAGGGATTGAGGTGTGGTCCTGCTTTCCTGAACTTCAGCTAAAGCTTGTATCTTCATTGAATTTGCAAAGTGAAATAATGTGCGGCTACCAAACACATAGGCGAGGCAGAACAGGGTTGGGAAGGGGCAGGTAGGAGTCTGTGAGGCAGCGACCGACATCTGCGAGGCGGGTAGAATCCAGCGGCGTAATGGCAGGTGGGCGAATCCGGCGGCTTGTGCTGAATGTCTGCTGATCACGACAGAGCAGAAGAGCGTAATGCGGTGGAATCCGATCTGATTCTCCGGGGATTAGTGGAGGACAAGGCTGGGGATCCGGACGAGGAACCGCGGCAGAACAAAGCGGAGGTACTACTGGCAAACCATCAAACGAGGAAGCAGAAGTGACTGTTGTCGATCGGTGGCCGAGTGATGGTCTGAGCTGTGTTTTATGGAGCAGAGCGGATGATTGAAAGGCAGGTGAGCCAGCTACAAGCACAGGTGTCCTCACTTGTCTTGATTAATGCGCCGCTCGGAGAACACACACGCTCAAACATGCCGGGAAAGGACGAGGAGAAAAGCTACCAGCGAAGAGGTGGAGGCACGGGTCCTGACAATCATAAATCTTGTGTTTTGTTCATGCTTCTACCTCCTCGTCACCGTCTTACCGCCTTTCACTGTTGCTTCCCCTCATCCCCTGGACTCCCCGGGATGTTTTATTTATGTCCGGATCTTGCAGGAATTGTGATTAAACTTTTCTTGTGATCTGATCAGTCGGCGGTCAGGCTGTTGACAGATTTTGACCTCTTCCTCTGAAGCAGGTTAGCTGTGCCCTTTTAAGGTCTTGCCACAGCATCTCGGTTGGATTCAAGTCCGGACTTTGACTCGGCCACTCCAAAACCTTCATTGTGTTCTTTTTTGAGCCATTCAGAGGTCGGCTTGCTTGTGTGATTGGGGTCATTGTCATGCTGCATAACCCGTTTGAGCTTTAGGTCATGAGCCGATGGGCGGATATTCTCCAGGAGGGTTTTCTGATACGGAGCAGAATTTATGCCTCCATCAGGTATGACAGGTTCTGTGGAAGCAAAGCAGCTCAAAGCATCACACTCCCACCACCACCATGTTTCACTGTTGGCATCATGTTGTTCTTGTGGAATGCAGTATTAGCTCTAAACCAAATATAATGGGACCTATGTCTTCCAAAAAGCTCCACCTTTGACTCATCAGTCCTACAAGTCTTGGGGCTCGTCTACATATTTATTTGCAAATGCCAGACAAGCCTTTGTGTTCTTTTTGGTCAGAAATGGTTTCTGCCTGGCAGCTCTTCCACTGACGCCATTTCTGCCCAGTGTCTTCCTCATTGTGGAATCATGTACACTGACCTTAACTGAGACCAGTGAGGCCTGCAGTTCTCTTGATGTTCATCTGGGTTCTTTTGTGACCTCCTGCATGAGATGTTGACCACTCCTGGAAAGGTTCACCATTGTTCCATGTCTCTCCATTTGTGGATAATGCCTCTCCCTGTGATTAACTGGAGTCCCAGAGCCTTCGTGATGGCTTTTAGCCCTTTCCAGACTAATTGTCAATGACTTTGCATTTATTCTTGAATCTCTTCAGAACGTGGCATCATGTGCTGCTTTATGAGACCCTTTAGTCTGCTTCACAATACCAGACAGGCTCTATTTAAGTGATATTTAGATTCAACAAGCCTGGCAGTAATCATACCTTGGTGTGGTTGGTGAAATTCAACCCAATTGCGAAATGAATGTGGTCATTTGGTAGATTGGTAGCTACGGGGGAAATTGCTTTTTCACATAGCTGAGCACTGCTTTTTTTTTTTTTTCTTAAAATTTTATTTTTAATTTCAGATGAACTATATCCTCTTGAAAGTAATTAATTTAGCTGCAGTGTTTTTATCATTAATTAAGAGAGGCAGCATTTATTTTTAGTGAATGAAACACCGCGTTTATGAACTGCATCCATCAGGAGGAGACGCTCGGGGTGGATAGTCGGGGTTGAAACAGGAGAAACAAGGCAACAACAGATTAGTGAAAGATGGTGGTTTTGATTAAATGTTGAGAACTTCTTCTGTGTTAAGTCAGATGAACAAAGAGATGTCAGTGTCTTCACAGAACCATAGTTAGCCTTGAGCCTTCCAGCATCAAGCCCTCCTTGTATCTCCACCTCCGTCTTGACAATCCGACAGCCTTGCTATCCGACATAAAAGAAGGTTTTACATTTAGTGTCGGATTATCGAGTCACGACTGTATGTTGTAAGGGAACAGTTTACTCTATGTTTAAACACAGCCTCACCCCAAGAAGTCTAAGAGATGTCTTGGTCAACAGCACTAAGAGCATTAGTTTCACAATAAAGGCTGTAACATTAAGTGGTGCCCACGTTTTTTTGGAATATTCTTTTTTTGGCCTGTTTCATGTGACTTGCTAGTTTCACATCATCATCATCATGACTTGCAAGTTCCCTTCGGTTAGTACTTAGTAGAAAGAACAACAACTTCAGGAGGCTGATGGGGTGGTGGTAGCCAAACACAGGCTTTTCACCCAGGAGACTGTAGTTTGAGGCCTGTGTGAGACCATTCTTTCTTTCTTTGTGTTTTTTTTTCCCTCCTTGTTTTCCTTTCGCTCTCCGTTGCCGTTTGGTTTCCATTACAAATCCACTCGGTTCACTCGAGGAAAGTATCACAATTTGGGGTTTAAATGCAATCATTCAAATGCAAACCACAAAGCTCTGTTTGTCTTTGAGGTTGTATCTCACATTTTTACGGCCCTTTCTGTGAAAATATTATCTTTGTTCTGTGAGGGGGGTTGTTGCACATTTTGGTATGACAGTGGGCTGCATGTTTAGTATGAAGGTATCAGTGACTTTCCAGATTATTAACAAACGTTCCCACTACATTTACAGAAAAAAATAGCCAAGCTGCAGTTAGATTTCCTTCAAACATATTTGCTGTATTTTATGTGTGTACACGTGCAATTTCCAGGAGACAGGATTGTTTAGACATAAACACCAGAATATCTCACGCTTCTAAATTGGAGTGTCTCTACCGAGCCTCCTTCCTCGGCTATTAAAGAGAGAAATGCTTGTAGCTCTCCGTTGCCTCAGCCCCTCTTATGTGTGTCTTCTTTCTTTTCTCTTTCTGGGATTGTGGAGACGGGGACTGCTAGCTAGCCAAGTGGCTGCATGTGAACATGCACTAATATGGATGTTTTTGTTTTATTGTGTGTTTGTTTGTCTGTTTGTTTGTGTTTGCATCCTCTGCAGTGTTGTTTACCAGGATGGATTTTATGGTGCAGATATTTATGTAAGTATTATTTACTGGTATGACATTGCATGCTACACTGCCATCTCCACGGTTTCTGACCTTTTGCTCTGCACATGCAATCCCTCCGACCCTCCATACTCACACATGGCTCCACCTTGAAGGGCAGGTAGCTGATCACAACCACAGCAAAGAGACGGAGAAATACCCACATGAGTTAACCATTTGATTTGAATTTGATTCTTGGGGTCTGGTTTGCAAAACGATTTACTCACTTGTGTAGTCGACTAAATTGTAGTATGAAATAACTTCTGGAAAGAACAATAAAGTTTAAGCTACGAGAAGCTCAGTGATGTTGGCAAAGGTCACTGTCTGATCAAACACATAAAGTCTGCTGGAAAACAAGCTGAAACCTGCTACAATATTCTGCCTGATGTGAACAATACTTATGCAATGTACAACAATGTAGCCCTAATACTGCAATGTGGCCTTTACTATTTGCTCATATCCTCACTGGGGTCACAAGGAGCTGGAGTCTATCCCAGCTGACTCAGGGTGAAGGCAGGAGACACCCTGGACAGGTCACCAGTCTATCATATCACTATCAGCTCCACTTAGAGACAGACAACCAAGCACACTCACATTCACACCTACGGACAATTTAGAATCACCAATTAACCTCAACAGCAGGAGGAAGGAGGAAGCCGGAGAACCCGGAGAGAACCCACTCTGCACATGCAAACTCCATGCAGAAAAATCCCGGGTGTCCTCACCGGGACGTGAACCGGCAACCTTCTAGCTGCGAGGCAACGATGCTAACCACTGTTCCACCTTGCAGCCCCAAATGATAACACTGGTCTACACCCATTTTGGTGTCAAAGTTTTTTGAGCTGATTTTGGACAACTGCAATGCGCTGAATCCAGATATTACATTGGTTTTGCTCAATGAGGTCAAAATTTTGATTTGATGAAACATGCAGTTTACTTATATTGACCTTTACAAATGTTTACACTCATCAACTTTTGGATCATTTAGCTCATGAAAAGGATTAGAAAATGAAATTTTTCCTCTAAAATCTGATTTTATATGAGAACTACTAAAATAAATCAATCGATAATGTCAAAAATGTAATCGATTTAGTGCCAAAAATCAAGTTGGCATAAAAAACTTTACCTGATACAGAAAAGCAGATGTCATTTTTGAATTCAGCGTTGCAAAAATGTCCTAAATCAGTTAAAAAATCCGAGACACCTCCAAAAAAATATTTTTTTGTAACCCAGTGTAATATATATATGTAGGATTTTTTTTAAGCATTTGCTGCATATATATAAAATAGACCATGTCTCTTTTAGGACAATTGCAGTTATTTTATTTTTAAACAATGAACAAAAGTAGGGATGACATAATTGATAAAATAATACTGGGTCCATTTACTATCTCTGCAAACTGATGTCCTAATGTAATACGTTCTGAATACAATTAATTAGTTTAATTCATCACTTTATTTATTAAACTGATCACTTGGTTTTGATTCATCCATGAACACTGATCATCACACTAATGTGTGTTTCATGTTCTTTTCACGAGTCAGTAGCGTGCAAGATGTACACATTACCAGCATACAAATGGCATCACAGCGATGCGTTGGAAATAAATATAATTTCACAGTGTAAATATGAGTTAGCCTAATATTAATCACCTTATTTTAATTCTAGTGAATGGATTAAATTTCACATCAATCGTGTGATCGCAGTAGGAATGCCTGAATGATTACCTCTTAGCCAGCTAACATCTGAGGGTTAAACCCAGTGACATCAGGATTTTGTAAAAATAAAAGCTGACATGGTCGACAACATCAGCATTTTAAAAACATAGCTGAACATGAAGAGTTTAGAATAATAGTGATGACAAATAATGGAACAATACACTCCAATTTACACTGAAAACATTATATGTCCTCTTTGATACTGGGCTTTAAAATCAGTGTTTCAAGGTTGCCAAGGTTTTCTCGTTGCAACACACACACACACACACACACACTCACACACACAGAGAGTGCATCATTAATCTGCTTTTCCCTAAAGCCACCACCGTGTGTGTACTTGCGGTTCTGTTGTCCATCATGACAGAAAAGGAGTTAGAGCCTGAAATCCTGTTTAATAATTGGTGTGATTTCTCATTTCCAAATGTGTTTTTTAAATCTTGAAGACAGCCCTGGTTCAAAAAAAGTACATGTTTGTGTGTGTGTGTATGTGTGCATGTGCATTTGCGTGTGTGTGTGTGTGTGTGTGTGTGTGTGTGGAGGAGGTGCTTAGATAGCTCCCATAACATTCGACCTCCCTGCCTCCCCATTAGCCTCTGTGCCCCTGCCACAGGGATTGATTGCTGTGCTGCAATCACAACATTTAATATTCATTAGCAGAGGGATTGAGAGCCCCCAAAGCTGTGGTTATGTTTATTGAAAAATCTGTACTTTAGAAGTGTGTTCAGTCAATTTGTCCAAATAGAAGATTAGACGAGACGGAAAGAAGGGCACAGCTTTGTTGCTGTTAAATAAAGGATATAGTGAAAAATGTTCCCGTAGCTGTTTTTGGTTGAAATAGGTCTGACTTGGATACATAGTGAATGCAAAACTTTGTCACGCATCACATTAAAACTAAGCAACTGTCAATAAAATCCCAAACCTTCTGCCAACATGTTTCCTATAAATGACATTTCTATGCAACTGGATCAGAAATTCTTTTATTGTCATTGCATTATAATTAAATACAAGGTGCATAAGGTTGTATTTACGTTGCTGGTGGACACTCAGGTCCAGAAAGTTAGTGTCAGTTCAGTTTTCTTATGGTTCAAGGGTAGAAGCTGTGTGTTTGTCCATGATTTGTTGGACCTGAAGCATCTACCTGAGCGTAGTGGATCAGACAAATGGTGTCCAGGATGGGATTGGTCCTTCAGAATGTTTGCTGCTCAACTGAGGCAGCAAGAGATAAATACATCCTCCAGATAAGGCAGTGAACAGCCGATGATGCTCTGGGCGGTGTCGACGATCCAATGAAAGGCTCTCCTGTCTCCTGCTAGCAGGCGGCGAACAACACTGCATGCTCTCGACAGAACAGCAGTAAGTAGGCACCAGCAGCTTTTCCTGAAGCTTTTAACTTCTGAGGATCCACAGGAAGTGGAGTTGCTGCTGTGCCTCCTTCACTGATGCAGTGGTGTTGGTAGTTCAGGAAAGTCTGCTCGCTTCCTTCGAAAGGCGAGAATCGTTTCTTTTGTTTTGTGGAGTTCAGGACTAGATTGTTCCTTGAACACCACATCGTCAGTCTTTGGGCTTCATCTCCCCCTAAGATAAGGCCAAACAAAGCTGTGTCATCGACAAACTTATTGATTTTGTCAGACTTCTGGATGGATGCGCAGTCATACGTGTACAGTGAGGAGAGGATTGACTCAGCATGCAGCCCAGTGGGAAGCCGGTGCTGAGTGTGATGGTGGAGGAGAGGTGGTTACTGATTCTGACCATCTGGGGGCAGTTGGTCAGAAAGTCCTTGATCCAGTGTCTAGTGGACTGTGAAGGTCTGAGGTCACTCAGTGTAGTGACCAGTCTGCCGGAGATGACAGTGTTGAAGCTGACGTCTATGAGAAGCATAGACGCCTCCCCTGGTGTTCAAGGTGAGTCAGTGCAGTGTGAAGGGCAGTGGTGATGGCATCTTCTGGTGGTCCGGTATTGGTCGAAGCCTGGCTTGACGTGATGTAGCCTCTTAAAGCATTTTATAATGACCGGTGTGACGTTGTTCAGCCCGCTAATGATTGACTTTCTGGCAACTGTTGAAGACTTCAGGCAGGATGAGATGACACATGAGGACAGGGGCAGGCTGAAGGTTTTTGTTAACCAAGCTAACATTCCCTGCTACAACTTAATTAGCAAATGTTCCCGATTGAAATGCTATTAGCCCATTAAATCACTGCTACCATCACAGGTCATTAACCAAACACCAGCTGAAAAGCAGCAAGTGAGAGCAAACGTTGAAATGAGACTAAAGTCAGGAATAACACTGAAGACTCCACAGTGAAAATCCACTGACTTATGCCCACTACATCCCATCTCCCCTCCAACTGTAGACTTTTGTTCCTCTGTAAGTGTGAAGTTACGGCTCAACAGCCACTTCAGGAAAACATAGATCGACGCAACATGATAAGGTTGCTGTGTGTGCAGTTGGTCACGAAGACGGTATGAACAGTACATAAAGTGAGTAAGTTAGAGATAATCTTCATTCTTTAGCCATGGAGAATGATCTGCACCTTATAATCATTCTGCCATAGGGGGGAAAAACTCTGAGTTGTTTTTTTTAAACCAATCACAATAGTCTTGGGCGGGGCTAAGAACTTGGGGATTGCATTGGTGGGAAATTGGCAAAACTTTTTCAGCTTGTAGGCCAGTGCTTGGAGGTTGCTGTGGTTGCTTCTCATGGTGAAGGGGATTTTGAAAACGATAGGTAGGAGGATAGGTGAGGAGAGAGCTGCATGAAATGGACAGCCAATAGCAGGTCAGACTAGTTTAGATGCTCTTATTGTGTTTTCTGGAAACCAGCACATCTCCACAATGTTAGACAGGTAAAGTACTTCTTTAACATTTGTTGTGGAAGAAAACATTTCAACTAACTTATCATGTGAGTTATTACACAACAAGTAATGCCATTTGCTATCCAACAACGCCACTTGTAGGCAGCCATTCGTCAAATAGCAGTTTCGTTTGCGATTTGAGAAACACTGAATGAGGAGTTTAGTGCATTTACTTGTGTCAAGGCAATGCCACATCAGGTGTGGCCAAACGCTGTGAAAGTCAGTGAAGATAAATGGACATCTAGAAAGAGGAGTCCTGCTCGGCCATTCCTTCCTTCACTGAATCAGCAAATGTGATGGATCGGAACCTGTGGGATTCTGTGTTTTTGTGTGTGGAGTAGCCAAACCTTGACCATATGCACGTACACACCAGCTATTAGGTCTCTTTCCAAACACAAGCTGCACACACACACACACACACACA